ATCATCCCGAGCTTCTCCGAAGTCATCCAATGTTTTCATGAGCTTTGCTATTTTAACCTTCCTTTTACTAGGGAGATCAAGTGTTTTCATGATAAATCCGCAACTCATCGCTTCCTTTGATTTCCCACGAAAGTGTCTTTGTGCCAACGAGTCGTTCCGTCTAAACCATTATTCGTCGGACCCGGACATTTTAACTGGAATAATTGTATTTTTCGAATAAAAAATGTGGAATACAAATATACGAATGCAAACAGTTCACTTTGGAATAGACTGCACGATTTCTTTTAAAAAATTCACTATCTCTCAAAATACGTGAAATTTTGTCATTGCTGAGAAAACTACAAAATTTCGCTTTGAAAATATTGGTAATTATAATTAGTCTGATTGGAATAACGTCTTGTCCCCTGAGACCAATTTTAAGTGAATGCGTTGTTGGGAGCGCTAGTGCGTTCTCAACTTCTCCTGTCGCTTGATAAGTGGACGTTTAAAGAAAACTTAGCCAAAAAGCAAAAACCAAACATCAGCGCCACTAGTTTTAACAAGTCCTTCAATCCCTTTTCCATTTTAAAAAACAAGCAAAGGTACATCTTAGCAATCTATCCTGGTTATTTTGCCCGGCCCGACGGATATGGTTTGTGTTCCGTCTTATGGTCTAACTCTACTTTTCATTAGTTCTTCTGCAGTTTGGCATCTGATTGGAAATAAACAGTTTGGAACTTCTTCCACAAAAATATGGTGAATGGAGTTAATTTTGCTACGTTTTCGCGTTCAACAGTTTGTAGATATATATTCAAGGCTAAATCTTTAAATTTTTTCTATTAGGTAGTTGTGTATTAAGTGAACTGGTCCCTCTTGCAATTTTAGATATTATTCATGTGCAAATCTTTTGATGGCTTGGCCATGATCACCATTCTTTCAAAGTGCACTTCATTTTACCTGTAACTTTTTTTGGCTAAAGGTTTTCCAATTCACAACAAGTAAGTAAAGCTTTTCCAGAATGAGTGAAGGAAAAGCTGTAAAAGTGGAGCCGATTAAGGCCGGCCCACGAACAGATCAAGAGCTGATGGCGCATCTTGCTGCTCAGGTGCGTTTTCAGATTATGCGCATGTAACTAGGTTTAGCTTTGGTCCTTACTTTGTTCACCCTGTGAATTAATCCTTTTAGCTTTAAGCCCTAAATTGTAAGGAACTAAATTTTTAAAAAGGCTTATGAATAGGTCTTTCTAACTCTAGGATATTCTAAACTGCACAAATAAAGTTTTTGAGATCGTGATTGTTTAGGTTGGCGATGGCCGACTCTTCAAGATGGATGTTGACTACGAAAGTCAGGTTGATGAAGCAATCCCGAAGGCAAACGCGATAGCTGCGGTAGATTTTGTCCTCTTTCTTTTTCATTCACTTTAACAAAGTTAAAGAGTGTTAAAATCTAGAGAGGCGATGTTGCCGGCGCTCTGGATTCTCTTGCAAACTTGGAAAAACTGTCTCGACTTGGTTCGGATATGAAGAGTAACACAAGAATTGTGCAGCACATGGTACTTACATGTATTTGTTGCTCGTTCTGAATTATTTTGAGAATTGAATTGATTTTAGGTAAAACTGTGTTTTGACGGAAAGAAGTGGGACCTTCTGAACGATACAATTCTGACTTTGTCCAAGAAACGACTAATCATCAAGATGGCTATCGCTAAGATGGTAGGGTTCCC